ACATCCCATCCATCACGACCCTGCTAAACAGTAAAAAATGGATTAAGAGTTGTGAAACATGTACAAAATTCAGTAAAGGGGAGAGAGAAATAGAAAGTAGGAGTATGGAAGGGTATATTAACGAGATCCCAATGGAACAGTTTTTAACACAGTTCAATTGCATATCAGCAGACTGACTCAAAAGGACAATCAAAAGCAAAGGCTGGGCAAAAGGACACAACAAATTCTGCAGCCCCTAGGCTTGGAGAAAAAAAAAGCAGGATGAGATGTAACAGCACAAAGCAGAACATGAAAAGATCATTTATCATCATACATACACCAAGGGAATAGTCCAAAAATCCTATATACTAGTAGCACATAAGTCTGAAGAAGAGATTGTGCATACATTTACATATCACAAGATGACTGAGTCACCAGCCTGATACATTCCAAGATCACATTTGCTTCTTATGCCTGTACCAACTGAAGTATTTTCAGACATGAAAGCGAAGCAATAATGTCTTTATGAAGGGTGTTGGTACATTTCATATGTGCTTCATCCGGAACAGTGTGTACAAGAAAACTTGCAGAAGTGTGTCTCCCCAGTTTGAATCCTCTCTCATACTTTATCATACACCTGTTAATTTCTTAAAAGTGAAGTACTGAATAAAGATAAAGTAAGGAAATAACCTACCTTATTCTTATGTTTGCTCTTTTCTAAGACAGATTTTTAGAAAGAAAGATACTAACTTTTACAGCAGGGCTTGAAAGATGTATTTTAACTTAGCTCTGCACATTTATTTTTCTAATGCACTGCTGCCACCTTGACCACAGTACAGAGGACTGACAAGCCACACGGCTTACTGGATATAGTGCATATGGTAATCTTACCAATCAAGACTCAAAGGTGGTAAGAGAGAAATGTAAATAAACCCACAGGCCACATGGTTCAGAACTGAACAATCAAGTTGAACCTGAAGGAGAAAAACAACAACAACAGTTTAATAGAAGGCGGTTAGAATAACTTCGCTGACAGACTGGTTCAGAGGAGTATTTGAATAAGGAGTTCTGAATCACTGATTTTTAACTTCTGTACTTAATGAGACACATACTGCAGAAAGTCAAGACTTCCTGTGCAGTGTATCTTCTCCCTCCATTAAGTGACCACAGACAGAAGTGAGGTGAAAATGTCTAGGAGGGAAGTAGCACAAGACTCCAGGTATGAAAGTATATCCTCACAGATACAAAGTTTTATCTGGAAGAAACCTCTTAAGTACATTTACTCCAGCCTCCAGTTTGAAGCAGAATTATTGCCAACATCAAATCAGGTCAGTTTAAAACTGTAACCTGTCCCAGTGATGGACCACTCCATGGAAAGTTTTTTCTGTAGCCTAATTTGAATCTCCCAAGCTAAAACTCATGGCCATTGCCGCTTCTTGATTTCTTACTACTGAGAAGAGTGTGCCCCTTTAGACAGATGCATGTCATAATTAGATTGCCTCTAGGCTGCCTTGATTTCCTCTGCATGACTAAAGACTAGCTTCCTCAGTCCCTCCTCACAGGTCATATGCCCTGTGCCTCCAAACATACTGGCTGGACTCTCTACAGTTCCTCAGCAGCTTTCTTTAACAGTGGTACACTGAACCAAAGAGTATACAACATATAGCCTCAGCAGAGCCACAGGAATGAAGTAAAACCATGTCCCCTACTCCTGGTCACATCCTCCTTACACAGCAGACAAAGCAAACAGCAGACTGAACTATGAGATGTGCTGTTAGCTTATTTAAGTAAGAGGTTTCTATAGATGAGGCTCTAATTAAACTGAACATTCAAGCTAATTCTGCAGTAAAGACAATCCTTAATCACACATTCCTTAAAGCCTGAAGTTGCATGTTAAAACAAAAACACATGCAACATCAGAACACTAACACCTACAGTACCTACCAATAAACAAGAAAGTTACACTCTGTTCTAGCTAAAGTTTCTAGGTAAATTCATGCCTTGAATGCATACATACATACTAGCTCTTCCTATAAATTATCAATAGACTATATTTAGAAGTTTTATTTCAAAGTTCACAGACCTTTTAAAAGAAACAAACTTCACACTCTGATCTTGGTAGTACCTTTACAAAAGCCAGATGCGTTCTCCAGAATTTCTGGTTCTCTTTGCATTTTTATCCTCTATCACAATCATTAAAAGAAAAAATACCTTTCTAAAATTTTTTTACTGACTTGACTGGGACACAAACAATGTAAACTGGTTAAACAGGTTTACAGCCTCCTATGGCACTACTCAGTCTCCCAGTGACTCCTTTCTCTCTTCTAAGAAATACTATAAACTATTCTGTGCGTATCCAAAGAAACGAGTTAAGGTACAGCATTTGAACGGACTTGCCTCCCTGAACTTGGAAATGTAACAGAGCAGCTGTTCAACTGTTCAGAGAGACAAGCATGAAAACAGTAAAGGTAAAATTACTAATATTACATCAATAAAATTGAGATACTTTACTGTAGAAGTTAAATTAAAAATAAGAATAAAAAGGTTATTTTTTGTTTCAGAAAAGTGGAAACATGGTTTTAAGGCATTTATGAAGAACTATTCTTTTAAGAAATAATGCATAGTCCATGCAAAGGAAATGAACACTGAGAGCCCTAAGCAGAGAAGAAAAATTAGAGTAATAGGTAGGCCTGGATCCAGAACACTGCATACAGAGACTAAACATTTGGAGTAGTTAGAATCTGCCAATAAGTCTTAAGCTAATGCCAGGGGACCCATCTCTAATTAAAACAGAGGTTTGATTTCAACTGAAGCATTGTAATCATTGTTACAGCTTCCACAGCACCCATTACCAGGGCACAGGTGGTTTGTGAAAGCCAGCAAAATGCTTGCCAGAAGAATTCTACAGTCACAAGAATTTGTTTCTTCTGTAACCGACAGAAACTCCATAAAGAAAATAGCATGGGAGGGCAATGGTCTAATTGCCTTGCACAGCATGCTTTGCCTAGGTGAGGAAAAACCTCAAGTACAATTCTGTCAAAAAGGCATGTTAAATTCCATACACAGAGAAACACACCTTGCTTTCCAGAACTGCAGTCACTTTTCATTAACACAAATTTTAAGTAGTACATTATGAAAGCATCTGAGAAAATTCATTTTTTTGCTCAAAGCTAGAGAAAAAAAAAAAAGACCCAAAACATTACAATGCAGTCTAAGTTGATCCTTTGCCCCAGAAGAGGGGGACAAATACTCAGAGAGCTTTTCCCTCTAAGAAATCACACGTATCACAGGAGATGCTTTATACTAACAGCTAAACACAAGGCCTTGTAACTGATTAAAAGACTAGAGGATGCTAAAGCATGTCGCTGTCATTTTGGTTCTGCAAAAGACTTTAAGTAATCTTTGTCAACAAGCTTTTACCAGTTTGCAGAGGCCTTATTCAAAGTATTTCATTTCACTACTGAAAAACAAGTTACTGTCTCTTTCTCTCCTTGCATGTCTCGGGGGAGAGGGACATGACACAAATAAAGAGCGGCACTATAAATATTCCTGGTTACCTATTATCCTTTCTGTGCAAGAAGTGTGATCCAATGCACACAAGCAGACACCATCTACATCTGACAGGCTGCACAGGCATTCTTATTGCCTTGCCTCCTACACTGACCTTGTTACTCTTGACGAAAACCAACTATTTTACTCTTCTAAAATAACCTACTGTAACAAAGAAATTTAATTGACTTTAATATTACATTTCAGTAGAGACATGACTTCAACCTTACCTACAGACTATAACAAGCATACATTCATCCACTTAGCACAGAGTTTCTTGCAACAGAAAAAAAAATATTTAGTATTCATTGTACACTACTCCTGATATTACCATAAAGCACTTTAACAAACTTAACTTCATATGTCTTTTTCTTTCGAAGCAGTCATTAGGTCATGCTGCTTTTACTAGTTATGTCATGGCTTGTTTGTAAGCCCAAATCACCTCTGGATCCAGAGTCCTTACCGCCTGCTCCTCTTCTACATAAACAGTGTGTGTGCATCTGCTGACCACCCCTCCAGTTATCAGGGTATTTCCTGCCCATGTGAGTGCTCACTTCAGATGAGTCAAGTCACAATACCCATACCTACAGCCCAACGACATTATCAAGAAAGGGGTGACAACAGCAGCCCTCTTACTTCTAGGCACAGGACAAGGAGTCACTTATTGTCTCCTGACTGACCTGTTTGGCCACTGAGAGGCAGAGGTACTACTTCTGCCCTTAGCATCACTGAGCCTACTTTCAAAGGACTACTGCCTGTTCATCGGGAGCACTAGAGAGGCAGAAACCACCTCGTACACAAAAGAGATCTCAAACTAAGGAGTTTGCGCTCCCCGCGCTTTCCTTCACCGTCGTCGGTGAAGGTACCAGGAGAGGGAAGCGAACGAAAGTAAGTGTAGTAGTTCTGCCAGTGAAATCAGGAAGACGTTCGGTCGGTTTTTGCTGTTAGACCCGTCCCCGCGGTGCAACCGCTCCGGCGCAGCCCCAGCCCCGGCAGTGCCCGGCACACGTGCGGCCCTTCCCCCGCCGCCCCCTCCCTCCGAGCACTCCCGGGAGCGGGGCAGCACCCGCGGTCGGCTCGGCTGGGACCCTCTCCCTTCCTGCTCCCGCTCGCTCTCGCTCCCCTGCAGGGAGGGTCAGAGGGGGCGAGGAGCCGGGGGGAGGTCCCGCCCGCCCCCCGCCCCTTCCCCGCCGGTACCTGGCTGCGGCTTGGCGGGGCCCGGCTCCCCGCGGCTCCGGCCGTCCTGGCAGCGGCCGTGGCGGAGGCCGCCGGGCACGGCGCCCCAGAGGCGGCTGGCAGTGCCGCGGAGCAGTCGGCCGCCCTTGCCGGTGAGGGCGGTCAGCGAGTCCATGGCGGCGCTACGGCCCCGGGGGCGCCATGGCCGGGCGGGCACCGCGCGGCCCGCGCGCAACTTCGGCAAACTTCGGGCGGCCACGCCCCCTTTTAAAGGGGCCGCGGCACCGCCCGGCGGGGCCGGGCAGGGGGCCGCGGGGCTCCCCAGCGCTCCGTCACCGTGACACTCGGGACATCGCTTCCCTCTGGCCTCAGGCCGCCTGTGCGTCTCTATGGACTTATCCACGGTTCGCGGAGTTGTTTATGTTTCCTGGAAGCTCACTGCTTTACAACCGTGTGCTGCAAAGCTCTCTATGAACTTCCAGCTTTCCTGTCTCAGCGTTCCCAAGCATGAAAATCAAGAATCAAGCCGATCTTCTTACTTTTAAATCTTGAGTCGGTCGTGGATTTGAAGATGTTTTTCCACTGGACTGTAAAACAGGATTAGCTGTGACACTGTGTGGTTTTGCTGCTCTTCTTTTGACCCTTCCCTCTCAGTGTCCCTGCTATCCTGGATGCCACCGTCCTTGCTGTGCCAGCCAGCCATGTCCCCGTGCCCTCCTTTGAGTGTTTGCCAACACTGATACCCGACTCAACCTTTGAGCTGACTAGGTTACTTTAGTCTTCCGGCAGAACTTACAAGGTACACAATTTTTCTTTCTTTTTGAGAAAGACGTTTGATTTGTGGTGTTCATTTGTACCCTCGAATTCTTTGTCCCCACAATCCTTGGAACGTTTTAACATTTGAAGAAATAAAACCAGCTGGAACATGATAAATATTTTATCATGGCTAGGCTTCGCGAACGAAGATTTGGGAGGGGCTCTACCCACGTTTGTTGCAAAAAATATTTTAACAGAAAAAGAAATACCTAAGGCATTGAATCTGATGATGAAGATCTGCCTTACGATGTGCGTTCTGCACGTATTGAGGCTGAAAGAACAGCCATATAATGGTATTTATACTTGTGACATAGACCTTGAGAAGGCAGAACTGTAAGCTAATGTGCTTATATACTAATGTGAGTATGGTGCCATTATATGCTGCATCTAGCTGCAAATGAAGGCATTGTTTAATAAAAAATGCTTTTGTTGAGCCAAATCTATTGTGTACATGCATAACAGAGGAACAAAGTGCTGAGCTATTTCAACTCCTATTCACTTGTAGCAGCTGCTCAATTAAATCAGAGTTTAACGTCAGCATTTTGGAGTGCTGAATTCTGAGGGTTACTTGATATAAACAGTACACTCAAATCAACCTTTCTACTACTTAAATCAGTTCCTACTCAGGAGATAATTATGTTCAAGACTTTTTTACAAATAAAATCTTTTCCCTGTAACAGAACAAGAAATTTTCAGCAGAATTAGCTCTCTTCCCTGCTCCCAAGACCTGTCAGTAGAAATGGATGTGTAATCTGTCTGTTCCATGACTAAGGATTAAATCAGGAACTGAAGAATCACTGCATGGTCTAAGCACCACTAAATGTTTAGCATGTAAACTATTCTGCCTACGAGATCTGTCTTGCCCTAAACACTCTAATTAGTTTTCATTTCATTACAGTGTTTCTGCCATGAAGAAGTTATGGTTAGTCTTTTGCCCTGTTGATTCTATTTTAGGCAAAATCTACTACATCTTTGCACAAGGAATGAGTTTACACTGTGGTGATCAGCATTTTTGAAACTTCAAGGTGGATTGGCCACCAGTACTGCAGCCACATACACACCTCTGTTATTGTATTGATTGCATGTATTTTCTCTGTGGTTTGAAGTAGTTCTGTTTGGTTTTTTTCTCTTCCAAGGTCATATTTATAAAATCATAAAATTGTTCAGGTTAAAAAACACCCTTAAGATGTTAACCCATCACTGCCAAGTCCACCACTAAAACATGTCCCTAAGTGCCACATCTACACATCTTTTAAATCCTCTACCAAGATGGTGACTGCACCACTTCACTGGGTAGCCTGTTCCAAGGCTTGACAACACTTTTGATGAAGAAATTTTTCAAAATATCAAAACTAAACCTCCCCTGCTGCAACTTGAGGCAGCATTTATTCATTATACTGCAGTGACAGAGGCTACAGATTCAGATTCAGACAGCATTATGATGAAGTATTCAAGATAAATGTTTTGATAACTATGAATTTTGTTATATTTTAGCTGCTTTCATCTGTTTTTCTCACAAATAGTCTAACTGAAGTATAAAAATATCACCTTTTACTGCAATGTGATTTTCACAGTATTGAAAATCATTGTCTGTACTCAAAAGCATTCATTTAACAATGTTTTACTTAGCAAGAACAAATTCTTCAGTGGAATTGTTTTAACTATAAAAACCAGATTTAGGTATCAGTGCTCAGAAAAGGTAATATTACTCTTTAAGATATGTGACACTCATTGTCTATTGATAAATTTCAAGGCACTGATGTAATACAATTATTAACATTACATAGTTATTACATTTTGAAGAATATAGTCAGAGCTATACTACTTGCCATCCAGAGGGACCTTGAGAAGTGGGCCCATGCAAACCTCATAAAATTCAACAGAGCCAATTGTGAGGTCCTGTACCTAGGTCAGGGTAATCCCAAGCACAAAAACAGGCTGAGCAGAGACAGCACTGGGGAGAACGACTTGGGAGCTGGTTGGTTGATGAGAAGTTCAACATGACCTGACAGTGCAAGGTTGCAGCCCAGAAAGTCAACTGTATGCTGGGCTGCATCAAGAGAAGTGTGACCAGCAGGTCAAGAGAGGTGATCCTGCCCCTCTACTCTGCTCTCCCACCAGGAGTACTGCATCCAGGAGAAAAAAAGATAAAAACACAGCAAGTGGTGGGGATATCATTTTTTCGGTGGCAAATTTGTTGCTTGGGAAAATAAGTACAAATTGCAACAGCAAATCCAGCAAAACACCAGCAGATGATGTTCAACTTCCTTAGGGCTTGGGCAGTTCACATGCTTGGTGTACAGGATATGGGCCTCTTGCAATTCATCTTGCCAAATTTTTAGTGCTACCAAGCTGCAGGCAAAAGTATACCAGGTAACACAAAATCCCTATTCTATTTTGTGAAAAATGAGGTTTGTACATGCTTTCTGGGGTGACAGTCTTGGTGTCAGTCATTTGGCAATTAGTCAGCATTCCTTTGTATATAAGCAACCTATATGCAAGTATGTAATTTTGACAATTTGAACCAAATGCCCCATTTAAGCTTCCTTAGTAATTCTGGAGGCACTGACTCTCATGTCATTTTATGAGGATGCTGTATGCCTTTGTTAAGTATTCTAAATTACCATGTCTGGTCAAGACCCTACCATTTACGTGGTTGCAAAACCCATAATGATTGGCAAAACCAGGAATTTGAATTAGAACATCATAAAAGCCTAACCTCTTTCTTAATTTTTAATGAAGCCTATTTTTAGTAATGTAAAATAATTCAGGAATTGTTTTTTGTTCCTTCCTCATGTAAAAGGTAAACTCTTAAGACAGAGAAAAACAGACTGCAGTCTGCTTCCAATGCTGTTTCAGTAAAAATTAAATGCAATGCAGAATGCACCCGCAGTCCTTGAAGGAGGGATCAAAACTCAGGCATGCAGAACTCCCACATTCTCAGGCCTATTTCCTTAGGAAACAACTTGAAGGATGAAGTGTGGAAGTACACAGTTCTAGAAGTAAAAATGTTTGCACAAATCTATTTTTGTGACTAAGAAGGTTCAAATTATTCCAAAGGGAAATCTGGTGGCACTATAAATTTGGGAGAAGTTGAAAAGAGGTAACTAGTAGGTGACACTAAGTAAATGGGTGTGTCTAAAACAGGTTGTTCATAGAGAACTGTGGGCTAGGTGTGGCTGTTCATACAGGTTTCACAAGACCACGTCCTCTTTTCAGATTAAACACTTGACAAGAATGAAACTCCCATCTGCATACTAGCCTCAGAAATGGTAAATGTAGAATTTCAGACTTTAGCAGGTAGGGATATAATTCTGATTTTACTAATCAGCTCCCTGTAAGATTACAATGAAATGGGGGCCAGTCTCCACTTGACCATTGATGCTGTTCGCTGTTCAGCAGAAAATGTCACAATAAAGGGACAAGACAGAATAAACATGGGCAAGAAGGGACTTTGGCAGTCTACGATTCTGGACTCAGATACTTCAAGTATAGGTTAGGTTCTGTATATGATTGTTCTTGAAATAACACTGAAAAAGACAAGAAGCTGTAACAGCATCTCTTCTTGGAGAGTTGCTTTCTCAGTAGAAAATGGAATCAAACTCCTGCTTTATTAGTATTTCAAATCTGACTCAAGAAATCTTTCATTTCTTTAGAAGCTGTATAAAATAGAGGTACCTGACCTAGACGTTAGTTTTCTCCAGGCTGAGGAGAACATTTGGACCTTGGGCATCTCAGTTAACCCCTACAATATATCTAAGCACCAAAACACACAGTCCTAAGCACTGCTTATTAGGTTTCATTTCATAATATTTAAGTACTATAACATTCACTGTGTGATTTTCTCTTATCAAATCTAAAAAGTTTCAAGTCATTCCTGTCAGATACCACTGCAACATCTGACCTGTTTGTGCTTTATCTCCTCAGATATAGGTTGGAGTTACATAAATGTTATGGTTTTCTCAGGTTTGTATCTTGTCAGGTTGGTATCTAATCTAATCCAAGTGAGACTATTTATACTTAGGACAGCCCAACAAGTCCTTTTCATCTTTGAGGAGAAAGCAATTTTTGCTTTTCCAGCCAGATTTCAGAAATCTTCATACCATAATTTAAATTAGATAGTAAAGATAGAAACACCATACAAATAAAACGTACAGTCAAATCTAGGACATTACTGAAACACATACACAAAAAATGTTAATTGATTCACAAACGTTCTGTACTGGCATACACAGCATAGTTATAAGAATGCATACTAAGCATATGAAACCCAATAGAAGTGAGTATAAAGTGAGTGTATTTTACTCCCCTTAACCTCATCCTGCAAAATAACTTTATCAGATTTCAAAAACATGCCACAATTTTTTGACACTTTTGGAAGCACCAAATTTCAGCTGCATATGGTCTGAATTTTCAGAGATTCAGGTAAATAACGAGCTTTGTTGCCTGCAGTTATCCATCTTCCCTGAGAAGTTATAGAATTGTAGTCACTATCCAACTTTTATTTACTTTTTTTTTTTTTTCAAAAAGCAGTGAAAGAGTTAGCATTACAAAAATATATATTCTAAAACTAAATCTCTGTTTTTCTTATTTTCGCAAAGTATACTTATGTTTAGATGTGGAAATGATCCATACAATAATATGCCAGCATTTGTTAGACTATCAGTGATATCCACATGAAATTTTTCAAATATGGCCTTCAGAACAAATGCATATCATATGGGGACTTTTCCATGTTTACAGCAGAACTTTAGTTTCAGCTGCAATTACACAGCTCTATATATGGACTACCTTATCAAATAAACATGAAATGACCTCCAGGTCTTCATTTCATACTTATCTGGTCAATAGTGGCTTATTATAAACAAAATATTCTGTTCTTTCAGGGAGTTTAATGAAATTGAATTTGGACCCCAGGGGTTATGAAGTTCATGCAGATACAGACACCCAGGCAGTTTAAGGATGCTCACCAGGTATAGCACTTGCTGAACAGAGTCAGTTTTCAGTAGGCACTGAAAAGTAGGTCTTCATGACATCAACTCACTGACATTTTTTTTCTTTCATCATGTGTTGTGAAACTGATTGTGGAAAACACTGACAATATAAGTGATGACTCCATAGTATTTACTAGCTAATCCTATCCTCCACAGAGGCATAAATTATGCAAATGATAAATAACTACTTATGAAAGGTGTTCAGAAAATTGATTATTCATCAAATATTTGAATCATAGGCAAACAGTATTGACTTAATCTTTTTTTTTTCTTTTTGCATTATAACTGTAACTATTCTTTCCTCAGCACTCACTAAATGCTTAATCAAGTTGTTAATGCACTGTATTGCTGTAAGGAAGTTGCTGATACTTGCTCAGAAACAATAGAGCCAGATTCCAATTCACAATAGACCTTTTTAACACTGCCAGATTGGTTCATAATAAAATAGAATATCCTTCTGGTAGGATACAGTTGTTACAGTTTAATCCAGTTGTACATAACTTGTGAAGACTAAGCAATCATACCATGACTCAGATTTCAAATGAAAGCATTGATTCAGATCATTAACATGAACAATGTTTTTTTGATCATTATTTTGCCACCTCATGACCAGCTATATTCCTCATGTTTATAGGAAAAGCCACATACTTTATAAATCCATAGTCCTGTCTTGGGAGTTATAATGTTAATAATCTTCAAATTAAAATATATACATTAATATCATTATTGTTAATCATGCTAATAATCCTCAAGGTGACTCTATATAATGAACTGGTTCTGTCAGTTTGGAGAAATAATCGATTGCTTGTCACATGCTCTCATTATGTTTGGTTGGCACCAGATCAGTTTGCAATTCAGAAAACATCATGGCTTTTAGTTATAGGTTATAAGTTTTCATTGCAACCTTTAGACATGAAGATATCTAAGATACAGGTTCCTTTTAATTCATCTGAACAATATTATTCTACTCAGACACCTAGAAAATACAGATTTAAGGACAGCTGATGAGCAGACATAATGACAGCTCTAAGTAGGAATGCCATCTGAATTACGTGACATTTTTTACATGAATGGGTTCTAAATATCATCAGAATTTATCATGAGCCAGAATAAGGCTAATGTCAACAGCTGATCCTTTTGGTTGCAATTTTCTTATTACAATAAGCATTACTGATTTTCTATTTTACTTACTTGCTACTGCTTAGGCAGTGCATTCTGGGATTAAGGATTAGTTTAAAAAAGACCCAATTCTGTTCCAATCTTTGCTACCTGTTTTTTGTGGTTATTTCCCTTCAGTAAAGTAAGTTTGTGAAAGCATTTTATACATACCTTTTCCTGAGCCATCTATAACTGTGCAGGACATTCCTGAAATTTTCTTTTGAATGAAAACCCAGAAGGAGTATGTTGATCTTATTAGGAGGAAGTTCTGCTTTTTCTTTCTTGTTAAATCTTGCTTCTTAAGGAACATCTGGTGTCTCTCCCCTCCCCCACCAGCACCACATCACAAGCATATGCCTGATTCATTTGCTCCCATAATATCATGTAGAAAACTTGTGGATGGTTACTCACTCTGTCCTTTTGGGGATAATTACTACAATTTATCCTCAAAAATCAAATTGCTTCAAGCTAGCTAAATCATTTGAAGGCTGTCCATTACTGTATTATCTCTGAATTAAGAAACTGTATCCTATACACAGTAGTTTCCCCCCTAAGATTTAATAGCTTAACTCCCGCCTCTCTCCACATTTTACTATCTTGTCTTTGATTACTGTCACAGTTTTCCCCTGAAATGATTTGCAGTATGTTGTCTCTCTTGTGTTCAGCTGCATTTAACCACAATGCCGTACGCACCATTGAGAATCTATACAGGGCTTTGCAGATCCTATTTGCCTCTTATTGATTTCCTTCTTTTTGTTTAGATGAGCTCTTCCATAGGCTTCATTTGAAATGACTAAAGGCATGTCTCACTGTCTTCCTTGTATTTCATCTGAGGATGAAATATTGTGTACATATATTGTGTACAAAATTCCAAAGAAATACAATATTTTTCAGAGGTAATGAATGGTTATCTGTCAAGGTTTTTTACTCCAGTGCCTCAGAATCAAGACTTGGAATTGGTAGGGATTTGACTGACAGTGGTTAAGGGTGAAGCCTTAGTAACACGCTTCTCATCAAGGAAATAGACTGGTGGGTTTTTCAGAAGTTAAAAGCTTATTTCTTCCAACTATAGGTCCTAATGGTAATGAATTATGCTATTTCCAGGTTGGAAATATATTGAGTGTACTAGTTTAGCCATGAACCTTAGTAGGGTCAGCAAACCTCAGTGAATGGAAAGGTGATGCTGAGAAAAGAAGGGATAAAAACTATTGTCTAGCTTTGCTTTGTTTTCTTATTACATAGAAAGGAAAAATTCAGTTATTTGAATAATCATGGAACTTGCCTATTGAGTTCCTACTAATCTGATGTTGAAGTCCTGCCTTGGGTATGGCTCATAGCTCAACATTACTGAAGAAGACTCCAAGGCTGCTCCAGCAGATGTGCTCTGTGGTTGAGGATTGCTCTGAGGGATTGCAGGGGAAGTTCCTTAAGTAGCAAGACTTCAAAAATAGTGCCAAGAGAGGTGCCCTGACTTTCTGAGCAGGGAGTAGTAGAGCTCTGACTCAGAAGCAGCTGTGACTGAGCACAAGGAAGGCCAGGAATGCCTGTGACCATCCCCATCCACACTAAAGCCGCCCCCAGGGAGTGTAAGGCACATCACACAGAGTGGGGCACAGCAGCTGGCATGGTCACCCATCAGCTCCAGAGGTGAGCTCAGTCAGCGGTCACCACACTCTTGGAAGGAGCTCAGTGATGGTTACCCCTTGGCAGGGAGCTGTGTCCTCTCTACTCACCAGAAAGGATGTGGAGACGTAAATGGAGCTGCCATGAAAACACGCAGCTGTCCAGGTCTCAGGCTGCAGGGAGTGCCAGAGCCTGGCACTGGTATTGGATGGCAGTAGAGATGACAGCTGTGTGGGGTGTGACCGGGTGGATGATCTGCTCAGCCTGGTGGCAGAGCTAAAAGAGGAGGTGGAAAGGTTAAAAAGTATCAGGGACACTGAGGAGGAGATTGACTGGTGGAGACAGTCTATCCTATCCCTGGGACACACGTTCCATCCGGTCACACCACTAGAACGAAAGGATCTCCTCTTTCACTTTCCCTTCCCCCCAACACTAATGGGATGGGGAGGAGAATCATGAAAGAAAAGAAAATAGAACTCATGGGTTGAGATAAGAACAGTTTCATAATTGAAACAAAGTAACAGATAATGACAATGATAGTGCTACTACTACTAATTGTAATTAAAAGGAGAAGGAGGGAGGAATGTGAAATCCAAGAAAGACAAGTGGTGCACAATGCAATTGCTCACCATCTGCTTACTGATGCCCAGCCCGTTCCCAAACACTGATCAGCCACCTTCCAGGTAACTCCCCCAGTTTATATGAAGTTCACAATGTTCTATTATATGGAATATCCCTTTGGCCAGTGCAGGTCATCTGTCTCGGCTGTGCTCCCTCACAGCTTTTCTGCATCTCCTCACTGGCAGAGCATGAGACACTGAAAAGTCCTTGATTCAGGGTAAGCACTGCTCAGCAACAACCAAAACATCAGTGTGTTATCAAATTGTTGTTCTCCTACTGAATCCAAAACACAGCGCTGTACCAGCTACTAATAAGAAAATGAGTTCAGTCCCATTGAAACCAGGACAGGATCACTAAAACAATCCTGAAAAAAAACACCACAACATTTTAGACTTGTTTTAGATCCCCACTTAGATACTTTTTTTTTTTTTTTTTGCACAGAAAGCTTTGATGGACTCTGTGGTATTAAAGAACCTCTGGTGTTACTCAAGACTTCATGAAGAAATTAAATTGTAATAATAGAATTAGAAGACATCTGGATAAGTAAAATAGAAAATGTTTTTAAGTCTTGGTTTGCAAATCTATAGTTTTTATATAGGAGTCAATAAGCATATGGATAAGAATAATCAGTTGATAGCAGTGTACTTATATTTTCGTAAAGCTTTTTACAAAGCCCCTCATGAAGGAAATGAAGCTGTTGTAAGACAAGAGGGCTCGTCATTTAATATCCTCTAAAGTACAGTAAGCAAGAGCTCAGATTTCACAACAGAGGAAGAAAGATTCTCAGTGCAGCCCAACAGAGATGCATGCTTTCAAACTTACAGCATTATTAGGCTAAGGAGAGAGTAAAAAGGTAATGGAGTTTGCTGATGATACAAAACTATGTGGAAAAGTTGAATCTCCTGAAAAAAGTTAAAAATTGTTTCATAATACAAAACATACCCAAAATGACAGGTGACATTCACTGTTGATAAATGCAGAGTAAAGACAAGTTTTCCTCTGAATGTATAACTATGTTTATTCATATACATAGTGATGATGTCTAAATGAGCTATTACCATCCTGTAAAGAAATATATGAAAATGTCAGTCAATAGACATCAAAAAGGCAAAATCAATATGAATTATTTAAAAAATATAGTTATACTACTTTTCAAATTCTTCTAATGAATATAGATTGTACTGCTGGCCACATTGCCTCCAAAAAAAGATGCAATGTACTCAGAAAATGTGCTGAGAAGAGCAACAAAAGTGTCAAGCTGCTTCTCTCTAGGAAAGCAGAGAAAAGAATACAATGTAGGTAAGCAGAAAACCCATCATAGAAAAATTATTCACTGTTTCTTGTGATAAGAGAAGTAATAATGAAATTGCTAAGACGATTTAAAGAAAAGGAAACATTTTGTTACACAACATAACTGAATCACAGAAGTCATTACCACAAACGATGTTGTGTATGCCAAAACTATGAATGGTTCATGTGGCAATGGATTTGCCATATGCAGGATGGAAAAAGTCCTGTCAGAGATGGGCTGGTGAGGAAAACAGCTCTAACCTTATGGAAACAGAAGTTTTTACTGTAGTTTAAACATGTTTCAACATGTTTGTGTATTTTCTGCAGTGTCACTGTCTCCCTCTTCCAGACACCCCCTGTGAAGCTATTGTCTCCCACACAAGGTGTCCTGGGAAGGTGTCCTGAGGTGTTTCCCATTGGTCCTTTGTTAACCCCTTCCTATTGGCTGTTGACCCCTTACCTGATGGTTTTTTCTGTGTGACCCTGAACTTGTGATTGGCCCCCTTTGACCTTCCTAAAAGCCTTATAAACCCCAACCCCACAATAAACTTCCTCTTTCGTCCGTCCCTCCCTGGTGGTCTGTGTGTGCTCCTTGCGGGGTCACTGGGCCACGTGCAGGGGTGGGGGGAAGAGCATTCACCTCGCAGGTAATGGGGCAAGCAGCTTAAGGCCTGGAGGTCTCCCCCATTCTCCCCAATCCGCCGTAGGTTCAGAACGTAATTAGAAAGAAATCATAGAAAGTCCATCAAGACCCATTAAGCACAAGAATGCAAACACAAGCTCTGGTTTCGGGAAACCCCTATGCCACAGACTGCCTAAAGCTCAGAGGAAATACCAGCAAAGTGCCTTTCATTCTGTATTCCTTCCCTAATTACAAGCTTCTGCTGGCCACTGTGGGAAATAGGACACTAAGCTCAACATGAGTAAAACATTACCTTTACCTCATCCTGCCCAGCCATTCTGATGTAAGGATTTTCCATGACACCACCCTGTCCCCCTTGCTCTGGAACCAGGAGAATTCCTTGATAAGTGCCTTTCTTGGGTCATTTGCAATGTGAAGGAGGTGACCTCTACAGATGGAGGTAACTCAGAAGATCAGGCCTGGGGCTTCAGAGAGATACAAGACACCTCAATTGCTACAGATGTTGAAGCAGACAGGGAGACAAGCTATTACTTTGCCTTCATTTTTCTCTCCTTTTTAATCTCCTGAAGTGAATACAAGTTGGTCTGGCTTCACCACAGTTGTCTTATCAAGAACTGGAAATCTCATCAACTGCCAGTGTTGATAACTTCGTTTAAAGAGAAGACATAAACATAAAGCGTTTATGGAAAAGAATCCAAATAGACTGTCAGGACATTCTCAAATGGCGAAGCCTTAAGGGCTCTGAAGTTGTGCTCTACAAAGGAAAACAAATGTGGAAAAAAGAAAGCATTGGAGGACAACCACAAGATTTTGCCAAACATCCTGGATATATTACAGTGGCTGTAGGCTGCCTTGAGAAGCCAGCTGTGATCCTGAAAGGGCAGGGAGTGTATCCTACAGCAGCTTTAAGTTTTGCACACAAATATCGCTCTGTGCCAGCACAGCTGCACTGCCAAGCTTGCTGGCAGGCAGGGAGAGGAGCCTGACCATGCCCCGACTCTGCAGATGCTGCTTCACACCCTGTAATACAAATAGTTGGCACAGGAGTTTCACAGAACTGCTCCTCCGTGTGCAGACATAGGACAAGGGATTCTTTGGTTTTCAAAAATTAAAGTGAATCTTCAGAATTCAGGGCTTTTAGGAAGAGAGATTATATTCTAGGTTTTGTTGGGGTTTTGTTTTGTAATACAAATTAATATTTTACTGTCATGCAAAATTATTGTCAGGAATGAAAGATCTGTTACATTTAAGAGATTAGGGGGCCTACTGCTGATGGGACAGTCCGGGATAACATAGAGAGTGCTGGCTGTTTTTTTTTAGGGCATCTTTCTGATAGCTCAGTAGTGCAACTGGAGTGACAGCACAGAACCACCTCTTGCACATCCTACAGGAGACTTCAGGAATCAGATATTGAAAGATCAGAATTAGTAAAGTATTTTAATAAATACCATCATTATAATGACTTTGGTTTTCAACACTTTTAGGAAAAGTGAAGGGACACAGACAATTTGAATTTATTTGGCATTGAGATTGTACTCAGCTCTGTAAAATACACAGATATAAAACAAACTGGAGGCCCAAACAATTAATCATCTAAACAGATTCCTGGAAACTGAGGCCCTGGCTTCCTGATACTGAAGTACTTTCTGATTAAATGATTTTGCTTCAAAGATGAATACAGAAATTTAAGGTGTGAATTAGTAGTTGCCTAATGTCCACCCACATAAAAATATTTTACATTCTTCATATCCTCCATGCTTCCCCTGTCCTCTGGATTAAGCATATTCTACATTATTAATCTGTTTTGTATATGCTTCTTTACTTAACTGTTTCACTTTGTTTGCACTTTTTAAAAGGAATTGTATTTTCTCCATTTTTATGAAATTCAACTGTCAGAAGCCTTAATAAATATATCTATAATTTTATTTAATGTAAGTGCACCACTTGTTTTCATGATGCACATTTCCAAGTTACATGACATGAGAAAGTTTTAAATGAAGGTATTCTCTCTAAAAAATTCTTTAAGCCTCAGTACCATAAGATATCCAGGCCTTTTACTATGGAATTTGTATTCAGCATACTCTGCATAAGGATATCAAACTAAACACCATTTCTGACATTAAATATTTTATTTCAAGCAATAATTCTTTTAGAAGCAGATGTCTTTTGTTTTGTAACTCACAGAAAAACAGTATTCTTTCAAAGGAGATGCATAATAAGTTTCAAACTAAATAGTATTGGCCTTTCTGTAGTTTCTGTGAAGACTAATCTTTTGCCTTTACATTTTTAAGCTAGCAGATGGAAAACAAGATGCAGTCTCATTTTATATGGGTTTTCATGCATGCAGTGTTTCCTTATGTGATCAAAAATGTTGAGGTCAATTAGAACTTTTAGACAGCACATTTCACTATTTCTCAATAGACTTAACATGTAATATTACTTTTAATAGGCATGATGACATAAGGGAGCACGAGCTAGCTGTAGCATTCGCTTTCCAGGGTTATTCAGACTGGATGACACAAGGACTTGCTGGTACCATAAACATTCCCCACCCCTCCTCCATGGACTGCATGTAAGCCTGTAAAACAAGTTTTTAAGTGCTGCAGGGCCCTGATGTGTGGTTTGGCACATGCATAGAAAAGTTTTTCCTGAATGAAACAGCTAAGAGGAGTAAGCCTCTAGTGGTGATATAAACAAGGATTTCAGGAGGAATTAATGATCTGCGTTCAACATGATTAGGTGGTACCCACGACCAAATGGTCTGGATGTGGAAGATGTCTTTCCATTTTGTAAACTGGTCTGAATCAGGACAATGGTGTCTCAGTCAACAAACCAGCATCAGTAAGTGGTTAGTCTAGGTGATATTCTGTCCTGGTAAACATTGTGTATCACACGTTTGATATCCACAGAAGAGTTTTAACTGTTTAAATGCTTTTCCATTTGATTTTATAGCAAGATCCTTCTTCAAGTATCAGCATTATTATCCTGAAGAAAAAAAATTAGGAACAATTGTGTGCAGCTTGCATAATCACACAAGTCTTTTGAAAGAGGTAATTAGACCTCCGAGGGCATATTGCCACGGCATATTGCAGATAGGGAAATCTTGCTAAATTTTGTGGTCTGCCATGCCTCTTGCATTTTACAAAGTTGTTTGCATCATTTGAGAGTAAAAAACTCTTATAAATATTAAAAAGTAGAGCAGCTATGTTTGTTTTATAGCCAAGCAATAGTCCTTTCCTCCCCCAAAATCAATTTTTTGCTTTTCTTAACTAAAACTTTCATTTAGTCAGATGTTAGTACCACTGCATTCTCTGTCACTCCCCTTTAAATGAACTGCTCTTTTAACACTTTTCTAGACTTAGTGTCAAACAGAATCTTGAAGAAGTGGCAATGGAAGCATAACCATGCTGCCCAGTCAGCCCTGCTGTGAGTCAAAAGGCACTCCATAAAAATTATTACATTGCATCTACATATATAATGCAGCGTTGGATTTCTTTAACAGCAGGATCTTCAGATTGATCTGCAGTGTTTGTAAGATCTTTGCATTTTGTTTTCCAGAACTCATGATTCAAAAAGAAAATCCAAATATTAGTCTAAGGTTAAGTGCAAATAGATCCATAGGGATGATTTCCAAACCATTTTCAGATTACACTCTTCTTACTTTCTTTCATATTGAAAGATGTGCTGTCTTACCCAAACTTACCTGAGATACTGCTCTTCATATTTGCTCCCTGTTACAGGTAGTAATAATGTTGTTAGGAGGGAAGAATAGGAGTGAATTTCAGTGAACAGTTATCAGTAAGTGAAATAAATTCTCCTTTCATTAGTTAGCACTTGAATGATCCTGTGAGCCACTTCACTACTTCCAGCAAAGTAGTATGTGATTGATTCTGTTGTACTTCAGTAATTTACATTCCTCAGAAGTCTTTTTTTCTCTTTCTTGGTTTTACTTATATAAAACGCAGGAAAGATTTTAACTAACGCCATTGTACATCTCTAAATTAAGCTTTCAGATGTTCAGTGGGCTGGTTCTGTAATGAAAGTGTGGTGCACTCCATGAAAAGAGGAGACTGAGCTCCACAAGTGTAGACTGAGCTCTTGAAGTTCTAGTGAGAAAACTCTAATAACTGATCAAATCAAAACTGATTTCTCTAATAACTGATCAAAATAGCAAGCAAGGAGACAGCAGAAAACTATAAGTGGGAAAGTGTTTTCACATATGACAGTAAACAAATTGTGGATTGCCTACTTGGAAATCTTATTCTTTGCATAACCACTAAACAAAATATTATAAAGAAAGTTTACAAACAATCCCCTCAAAAAAATTACCTTTCAAAATATGGCTGTCAATTAAAACAGCCTTACTAGAAAAAAGTAATAAACTGCATGACTTACCCAGTTTTCTCAAGGAGACGTTACCTCTTGTGAACAAAAGTACAGCTTTTTTCAGAGTTACAGTGCAAAATGCTTAATTTTTCCCCCTCCCTTATTTTTGATATCTGTGTTAATGACAATAGTCTCTTTTCCCATACAACCGCTGTCTGAGATAATAACAGTTTTACACAGCTGATGATAGAGATACACTTAAAGTGCCTGAATCTTGCATTGAGGAGACACTTACCAAATTGTGTACTAGCTTAGTATCAAATAGCACCTTTAGAGGCTGTTTTTCTTAAATGCTTGGTCTCACTTGATTCTTTTTAATATGAAGGACTGTGTACTGGATCCTTCAGTGTGGATGCTGGGGGGAATAAGCTACTCACAAGAAATTAAGTCCTGCGGCCTTTTCTTTTACTGTTAAGAAGGTTTGACAAAGAGTGTGAATATTTAAGGCTGTATATTCCCTTACAACCCACAGCTAGTGTTCTGTAGGACAAGATTTACAAGTGAAGATTGCAGTTATTTACCACATCTGATATGATTTTCTGAAGAAAGGACACGAAGTATCATGGCATGATTTTCCAAAGAAAGGACACAGTATCATGATCCACATACCCTGAATGAATTCCTTATATGTACAGGAACAAATCTTGCATTGCTGACCTCCAAGAAGATACAATCTCTGATGCTGGCTTTACAAATCACATCCTGGAAACTTCCCCAAAGGGCAGTCTCATGAAGGTATATTGCTTCAGTACAGAAGTACTTGATGGTATAACAGCTTAAGTTCAAGGCACAGGGACATAATGAATGGGCATGGTCAAAAATGAAAAAGATGCTCTGGGCCAATTCCTTCTGGCTGCTTGGGTCACACTCTTACTCAGCTTTGTTTCTGGATCAAGAGAGGGTTGGTTGAAGAACACAGAGAGAGATTTTTGGAAAGCACATGACATTTTACAACAGAACTGTGGTGCTACTGCAAGTAGCGCTTTGCTTCCCCTTCTCCATGCCAAGATCTTATTTCCAGATGTTAATAAACTGGCTAGTACCCTGGGCAGAAGAGGGTTAATCAAGAGAAAATTGAAAGGGGAACTTTCTCTACTTCTTAATTGTTTTTAGAACTAACCCAGCATGCAGTAGAAGAAGTAAAGAAAGCATTTGACCAAGATTTCTTCATGCCAGACACACCTTTACTTGCTCCTCACAGAATACAAAATGTGTGTCTCCCTGAGGGCATTCTTCACAGTTTTGAGATGCAACGTTTTGACAGTGGAAAACTACAAGTCTAAATATGGTACATTTTGTCAAACTTAGTTTAAAAGAATGTTCCAATGGATGTCTGCTCAAAAATGCACCTTGCTATTGGTTCCTATGCAAAGCCCTGTATTATTGGGGGTTCTGCAAGCCAATAATACCAGTATGTAGTCATAGAAGTGACTGTTTTGGCAAGTATTCAGGTCACATAATGGACCTTTAGTTCCCATTCATATTTGCCATAGTCTGGAGTGCAGGAGGTCTTACTGTTTTGTTTCTTCCTTTTTATTTACTCACTGGTTCCTCTTCTCTGACACATAAGAAACTGTGTCCTTAAAAGGCAGAAAAAGTACAGTTAGCTGTACTTTTATTTCCAGAGCATTTCTTTCCATGATAGATTCTAACCCACAGCTCACAAATTTCCATTTATATGGAAGGGAGAAAACCTAGCAGTGAGTAGGCAAAAAGAAGGAGACTATAACAACTTTTTGAGGCATGGAAATTCAGTATCTGAAAATGCACACAGCATTGAAATCACAAATATGAGAGATAGAGTTTTAATGGAAAAAAAAAGTAGAACTAGTAAAAAGACCACTTTCTCTAGCAGTCTATGCTTCCATCATTAGAGTTCACTCATTATATCTAAAATTGCATGATACCACACATTTCATACATAATACTGTCAGAGGGTAGTGGAGGCATGGGCACAGTCACTGGAAGGGAAGGCAAGAAGCACATCCATGCAATTTTTATTGCTCTCCTTGAAGGATTTTCTTAGTGCAAGTGGAGGATTCACGGATGGCACTTCATTCGCTCACTCACTTCTGTTTTTGATGGAATCCCTAAACAGGAGAAGGTGACCTCCAGGAAACAGCTTGCAGAGAGTAACAAGCAGGTCAGGATCTCCTCACAAATAACATAACCTCTGTGGAAAGCCTAAGAAGTGCGATTCTTTTTACTGAAGCTTTAAGTCCAACCTTTCACTTCTCCTCTGTGACCACATGCATGTATTCTGCCTTCTCCGAGTACCTAAAAAATACTTAATTTTTCCCCTCTCTGTTTTCTGATTTACTTCTAAAGCTACGTATTCCTTGCAGTAGGTTTTTGCTTACATTGTATAAACAGGTTTTCAGGCACTGCTGTGATACAGTACATGCCTGCTGGAATGAGAATGAGAGAACGACAAGAAAACAAAAATTATGAAGACACAAGGAAAAATAGAGAAGAAATCTCAGCAGTGATGAGACAAAACGGTGCAATTTGCAGCACCTAAAGTTAGAAGATGAGATTTTAGAT